CTAAGATTCTTTGGGAACACTGCCCTCCATTAATTTGGGATCAAGAATATTCAAGGCCAAGAGTCTGCATCCCATAAAATTTTTTGAAGGAAACCTTAACATATAATCCAATTCAACTGTGCAGAAGTCACAAAATTATAACAATAACAATAATACTGTATCCTCTGAACCTAAGATGCCACTGATAAGAAGATGCATCATTATTTCATGAGGTACTAAGAAAGAAAAAGCGCTGCCAATTAAACTATGACATCTACTGACTGAAAGACATTCCAATTTAAGATATTATAAAAAGTGAAAAAATTAGCATCTGAGAATCAATGAAATCTGTTAATAACAATGGCTAACTGCATTGAGTTCTTCTACGTACTGGGCAGCACACCAAGTGCTATGTAGAAATAACTCACTTGATACACAGAGCAACTCCATGAGGTATGAATGCTATAATCATGCCTAGTCTTAAATTGAGGCAACTGAGGCAGCAAGAGGTTAAGCAATTTAACCAGTAGATAGTGGCCACGCCTGACTCTAGACACTGCGTTCATAACTACTATGCCCTAAATTCAACTTCTCTGTCAGCCTGTCTCCTCATTCACAGGTAACACACCTGGGCACATATGGAGAGGAAACAGTGACAGAGAAATTATGACTAACTCAGATCTTCAGCAGCCTGTGGCTAAGTGTGGGTAGCCCTTGCCCTTGCAGCAGCACCATAAGAAAAAGTAAGAAGAACTAGAAAACAGTGGCAGAGGAATGACAGGTGATAGAGACAAAACAGATAAAAGGACAGGGGAGAATTTTAAAATAGAAGTTGAAGTGCCCCAAGGCAATAGCTCTGGCATGTCACAGGCATGTGATGTTGGTTACAATTGAGTCTTACAATTTATCAAGGGATATATCATTTGTTAGGCAGTGGTAGGAGAAAGGCTTATAGTGTATTGCCTATTGCCGCAAAAAAAAAATTTTTTTAATTAAAAAAAAAAAAAACTCAAAATCTATTCCCACTCAAGACACAGAATAACTGCAGTGTTTTGCTTTGTTTGTAAATTCTTAATATAACTACCAGCAAAATGGTTTTAGATTCACCTTTTCTAAACAGTATACTGTTATACATATTTCAAGAGGAGGAAGGTCTGAAATAAAACAATGCGCTCAAAAGCCATAGGTATTTTGAAAACGTGTGGTATGTTGAGGTTGAATGAAAACTTAAAACTCATAGTACATTTTAATTTTCAAGTATCTTTTTAATCTTTTTAGGGTTTTAAATGCTAACAAATTGGAGGAAAAACAAACATAAACAAGTTCCAAATGTTAAAAAATAAACTGGACAAGAGATAATGCACAGTGTTGCCCTTTACCTGTTTTCTTTTTCTTCGATGAATTCGTGGTCACTGAGTTCTGGATACTGCACTACATTGACACGGACAGGATGTGCACTCTGAAGAAGCCTTCGCACATCCTGCACCCTTAAATCTTCACTCCATATTAATGACATCACCTCATGATTCATGTCATTCATGCCATCATCCTCCTCCTCAGTTTCTGTTCCTGAAGGAACATCTGACGAGAGCACCTGAGTAACAGACTTTATTGTAACAATAATCTAAAAAACACTCAACATGCACTTATTGAACATAAGGAGATATTACATAGGCTAATGTATCACAACTATAGCAATACAGGAGAAATATGTATTCCAAAGCAGGGCTGGAATGGGGTCCCAATGTATACTGGGACCCTAACCTGTAAATCTTTTAAAATGTATTATATTGCCTACTGGGAAACATTCATTATTGAACTTAGGGAAAAAGTTTAAATTTAGGACAA